ATACTTCCAGCTATTCTACAGCAAATCAACCAAAACCGAGCACGATTTCGTAACACATTCAAAGAAAACACGATCTAAACTACATAATGCGTTTCAATCAAAAGAAAGAAGGTAAAGAACTAAAGGAAAACAAACAGAAATTGAACGAAGATCCCAGAGTTCGATCAAGAAGAAGAAGGAGAATCTAAGGCTCATTGCGGGTTTCGCGAACCCAGCATCTAGGTTCCGCGAGGAACACAGATTTGGGACTGGGTTCGCGAAACCCAATAGCTGGGTTCGCGAAACCTGCTACTGGGTTACTCGTAGAACCCAGTTGCTGGGTTCCTTGTGGAACCCAGATTTGGGTTTCATGAACCCAGGTCTTGGGTTCCTCATGGAACCCCCTTGCTGGGTTCGCGGAGGAAGAAGGTTGAGAAAGAGGAAGGGGCGGAGGGATAAGAGAGAAGAAGGGAGGAAGAAAAAAAAGAATATAATAATAATAAATTATGTGAGTTTTATTTAAATATGAAAAAAAATCACATGAAAAAAGAAAAATGCCATCAAGTTTGTTTTAGTCCACATCATCAATTTTTTCCATGTGGCATTCTATTGATTAGCGTGTAATAACACGTCAACAATGAAAAAGAAAAAAGACAAAATATTTAATAGATTATAGTTCCACTCTGTCACTTAACTGACGAAAAGACCAAAAAAGGGCCGGATTTTGAAATTTAGGGACTAAAAAAGGGATTTTTTCGGTACAAGGACTAAAAAAGAGATTTTTCCTATAGTATAGGGACCAAAAAGGATATTTAACCTTTTTTTTTGGGTTGGGATGCGAGACAAGCAAGAAAAATCTTGTCAATAGTGTTCCTACTGCACACGTGGGCATCCAAGTGCATAAAAAATTATGCCACGTCATTAAAAAAAGTTCATGTTAGATAGATAACGTCAAATAATGTCCAAGTCCATTTTTGGGCGCCACGTATTACATTTTTTAATGATTATTAACGGTTATGTGACGATTTGTTAAAATATTAGGTTTTTCACGGGTTTGAAAAAATAGAGGGTGCTTATAGGGAGGAAAAATTTTGAAAGGTGTTGACCGCGAAAAAAAAATAAATTGAGGATGCAAATAGGGGCTTTGGCCTTTCACATTTAATGCACTTGCAATTTTACTGTTGGATTTCCCATTCTTGGTTGAATTCTGACTAGTTTGGTTAGCTGGCTTTGTCTTTCAATTTGATTCAAGCAACCCTTGGCCTTTCTTGGAATTATTGCTTTTAATCACCGACGGTAATTCTAATTATTGTTTTTGGATTTTTTTTTTCTTCTTTTTTCTCTCCACAATAAGCCATGGACCAAATTCATCAAGTTGATTATCACTTCTAAGTTCTGATCCTGCCATTTGACCTAGAGATTAATTTTGATCCATAGCTTGATATCCTCCTACATTGCCTTTACTATTTAAATTCTCCACACTATTTGAGCCAACAAGTGAATTACCAGAAGTGTCATTAATGATAGAGTGTGAATGGACTTCACAACGTGTGCCATATGTGATTGTTGTAGAAATAGATTTAAATGTACATGCATCTTTATGATGCCTAATCCTTCCGCAAGCAAAATAGAGACACCTGATTCCATAAAAGACTTTTTGTTGAATTTTTCCTAAACAAACAAGTTTCACCAGAGGTTTATCCAGATCAACTCTAACACACACCCGAGCATATTGGCCATGCGTATGGTGAGTCGTGTGGGCATCCATGCGAAAGAGATGCCCAATAGAGTTACCAATTCGTTGAAGTGAGTTGGAGTCATAATATTCAGGGACAATCCTGGTAGTTGGGCCCAAACTACTGTGTGAGAGAAGGTGGCACTTTCAGGTTTGAAATTTGGTTCCCAAGGTCTA